ACACCCATTCTTGTGGTTTTCAGTATTACAGGAGACCTTTGAAAGGAATCATTATCGATAAGTCACAGCTGACTATTATTTACTCAAGATACAGTGCAGAATTTCCATCAAACTCTCCTTGTGTCACTTTGGAAATCAGGTGTCAAATGAAAGAAAAAGTCTCTTTCTTCTTAATATTTATTTCTTACTGTTTATTTAAATCATTGTTAAAAATAATAATGCTATTTATTTTCTTATGTTTATTAAGGAAGGGATGGTACAAATCCCAGGGAGCCATCCAATAGCTATTTCTAAAATCATATATTAAGAAAGAAATGCAAAAATTGCATCTGTAAATTAAAGTCCAAAAATAACCAATGAATGCCATGAATCATCTTGAAGTGCACAAAATATTTAAACTGAAGCATTACTTAAATGAGGTTAACTGAAAATGAAAATAAATTTTAATAAATTTCTAAGTGAATAAAATATACCTTGCATTAAAAAAGTATGAAAAGCAATATTAAAGGATCTATAAGGGTTATCAGCAAAATAGCATGAAATATATTTTAATGCTGAGTAGAGCTGGAAGAAAAATATATTTCTCCTTGAAATAAAATATATAAAAACTTCTGTTTTCCTTTCACTATATAAATCTTAATGGAGAAAAATCAAAATCTTGATTTAATGCAGAATATGAAGAAATACCAAAACACAAATATTTTATAATGTTACAATTAATTAATTGATTTTTGAAAACATTAGTAAGGCAATATTATCACACCATCGCACTTTTAAAAATGTGTGTCTCTCTATGCACCTCTATCATAATGATTTATATTTTTTCAGGATCCTTATATACAAGGTACTGTGAAATGATCTGGTGTCACTCTATCAGATTCAGCAAACTCCATGTCTTAGATCCTTTTAATTAAGTTCCATAAAATTCGTAAAAAATTTTAGTAAGTGTGGAAAAATGCAGTGAAGTTGCTTTTCTTCTTTGAAAGTATTCTTGACCAGCCTGGCCAACACGGTGAAACCCTGTCTCTACTAAAAATACACAAATTAGCCGGGTGTGATGGTCACCTGCAATCCCAGCTACTCCAGTGGCTGATGCAGGTGAGTCTCTAAAATCATGATTCAGTGATTAAGTTATCCTCCACAGGGCATTGTGGATCATGAGTTTATTGAGGCTGCTGAACTAACTGCATTTGGACTAACCACAAGAATCCCTTAGTTGTTTGTATTAATAATAGGGAGAGAGAGGCAGAGACAGAGAGGGAGAGAGAGGAGAAAGTTCCATAAAAGATGTGGGAAATGCCTTGAGGTGAATAATTTCAGAAATCACAATCACAAAATACATCTGCTATCTCAGCCATTGAATGAGTTGATCCGATTATGAAATCAAATATGCTTGATTGGGTTGATTCAATCGTGAAATCAAATAAAGCTTCAGTTTGTATTATAATATGCAGATAATTTGTAAGATAACTAGATAAGCATGGTTATTACCTTCAACTTTCAGACCAAATCAGATTCAGAACAATGAAACACTGCAGTGGTCACAACCGTTAAGGAGTATTGAATTAATTTCATTAACAATGTTTTCACTTAGAAATTGTCCATACTACTCTATTACATATACCAATAATAGCAATAATGACTAACATTTTATTTATATTGTTAATTATTAATATCTCAGTTACATAATGTTTTGCATGGGTTCCTTTGAGCCTTACAGGAATTCTGTGAGTTAGTTATTTTATTTTACTTTTTTTTTTGAAACAGAGTCTCGCTCTGTAGCCCAGGCTGGAGTTCAGTGGCATGATCATGGCTCACTGAAACCTCCACCTCCCGGGTTCAAGCAATTCTCCTGCCTCAACCTCCCCAGTAACTGAGACCATGGGCATGTGCCACCACGCCTGGCTAATTTTTGTATTTTTAGTAAAGATGGGGCTTCACCATGTTGGCCAGGGTGGTCTCGAACTTCTGACCTCAAGTGATCCATCATCCTCAACCTCCCAAAGTGTTAGGATTGCAGGCACGGGCTACCATGCCTGGATGAGTTGATTATCATTATACTTACATAGTTGATGAGCCAGAAAAGGTAATATATTTGTTCAAATCCATTACTTATCATCTGTGTGTTAATGGGCAAGTTCAAATCCAAATATTCCAATTGATATCAAAACATCATCAGGGACACTGAAATTTTGATCTCAATGTCTAGAATAGTACCCAAAACATCTATAAATTTTTGAATGTAAAGATTTTTAATGAAGAATCTGAATCACTATATTTCCTGATCAAGCATAGGAAATCATTCTATTTTCTGATCAAGATCAAGAAAATGGGAGTAACTATATCTGCCTCATAAAGCTAGTGTTGAAACTACATTTACTAAATGCTAGTTATCATAGTAATTAGTAGAGGAAAGATTCGATTTTAACAGAAAGGGAGAAGTTTGCATTTTCAAAGGTAACAGCTGTATATAGGTAAATTAGCCATTTCCATCGATCTCAGGTATTATCTCACTGAATATTTTAACATAATTTGTTCATGGTAAATGTAGCTTTTTGATGTTAATAGATTTTCATTTGTTGAGTTATACTTTTAGCCTTATATTATTGAAGATTTTTCTACTTTTCAAATAATTTCCACAAAAACTATTAGAGTTGTTTCTCACAGTGATATATATGTTGTCTCACTTAATAGATGAGAAGCTAAAGGCCAAAGAAAGTTAGCATACTTGCTCACTATATTCATGAGTCAGTAGGAGTATCAGCACAAAATTCTCAACCTCTCCGGGTTCTTACTTCATTGTGTTTTCTATTTACTCCTTTCCAAAAGTTTCAAATTATGCATCAGCTAGGGATAGTATAAAATTGGATAGAAGAACACACTTTTTTTTTGATCCACTGTTACATAACCAGAAAAACGTTTGCTATACTATGAAGGTGTAAAGTGACTTTCAGTTGACAGGTTCTCTCCTTACCTAACTCTAGTCAGACTCCCCTGAACTCTCTTCACAAGAAGGCCCTGACTGTCTGATTTCCATGTTCATCTCTGCTTGGTCCAGTTTTCACAAGAATCCTGTTTAGTCAGTTTACAGAAATTCTCCCACCGTTGATACGTGTGATCAAATTCTTACCCCACTGCCCTACCTCACTGTCAATATCTTATCACCCTGGCCTGCCTTCAGTAATAATCCTGTCTAATCGATTTACCCACAATTCCCATTACTCCGATGTTTCCTCTGGGCAATTTTCCACCCACTAACTCCCACTTTGCTTCTTAGCTATAAATTTCCACTTATCTTTGTATTCAGGATATCCTGTATTAAACTCAATCTCTTACCCCCATTACAAAACTTCATTGTAGCAGTACCCCTGAATAAAGTCTGCCTCACTGTCTTTAATACGTGTCATGAATATTTTAACATAATAACTATATATTTAATATGCAATTGTCAAGGATGAATTTCCCGTGTTTGCTAATGTATAGGTATTAAAGATGAGGGATACCTTTGCTTTGTGATCTTCTACCTAACTTCCTTCACCTATAGGCAACATTGCTGCTAGATTGAGTCAGTCTTTTCCCAGGAACTCAGATTCCAACTCTAAATCCTTCTAAACATATACATCATTGTAGGCAGCTGTAACAAATCAATCAAGTTGTCCCTCAAAAATATCTATGTATCTATACACATATGTACAGTTTGATTTATGTCTTTAGGCAACACACAGAATAAATTTATTCTAAATCCTAATACTTTTAAACACAGATAAAACTTTTAAACATATTGCTTTGTATTTTAGACATCCCCAAATATCAATTAAACATAAAATTATATAAAATTATATATTTTAAAAATTCTGTAATTCATTTTAATTAATTTATTTATGTGATTATAATTACTTTTCATGATCTGTGCAAATACTGGGCTATTCCTCAAACCAGTCACCCACTTAATTTTCCTGACAGTTTACTTTACAAAAAATGGCCTGTGTCTTTTAACAATGGTAAAAACATTATAGGGATTTCTTACTATTCATCTTTCACTCCAGAGTGCCTAGGACAATTCCTATTACATGGTCCTTTTCCAACCCATATTTATTTAAAGGATGAATACATGGAAGGAAAGGAGAGAGGAATAAAGAAAGGATGAAAGAAAAGAAAAAAGATGGGGAAAAGGAAAGGGAAAGAAAAGAGATAAAAGGAAAAAAATGGAAAGAAGAAAAAATAGGTAATTTAATTATGACTCAGAAATGGAAACATTTCATAGCATTTCAAGAAGAATTCCAGGGGAATTAACATAAATATCAACCTGTGGAAAGAACTTGACTTATTGAATATAAATATGTATGCTACAAAATCACATTTTGTTAATTAATTTTTGCATATATAAACAGCCAAAAAGACCAGATTTTTGCTTTATTAAGGAATATTATTTTTACATATATTCTATACATAAATCTGTCAGTGTTCCAAAATTGAATGCTATCATTTTATTTCTCGAGTGATAAAGTTTAAAAGTAAAATGTGGTGCTTCATAGAACACTAAACAAAAATAGATGACAGAGTAATAAATTACTTATGTCATTACTACAGGTAGAGCATCCCTAATTCAAAATCCTGAAATCTGCAATCCTCCAAAATCTGAAATTTTTTGAGCACCCACATGACACACAAGTGGAAAATTCCACACCCAACCTCATGTGATTAGTCACAGTCAAAATGCAGAAACACAGCAGAGTTTTTTCAGCATCCCTGAGGGGAAAATAAAATTACCTTTAGGCTATGGGTATACCATGTATATGAAAAATAAATACATCTTGCTTCTAGTCTTGGGTTCTATCTGAAAGATATCTTATTATATATATGAAAAGATTCTAACCTCTTCCCCACCAAAAAAAAAAAAAAAAAAAAAAAAAAAATCAGAAATTTGAAACACTTTGGTCCCAAGCATTTTCAATGAAGGATACTCAACCTGTATAATAATTTAGTAGGTTAATGCTTACCAGGATGTCTTTTCCAGCCCACTTGCATTCATCTCTTCTGGTGTAAGATACTGGCCACACAATCTAAGGACAGAGAATAAACATTGTTTTATGTCAACTAAGTTGTCTCAGAGATCCAACACCATATAGTCTTTTAGATGACATTGGGGCAACTGAAGTAAAGTTTCGTAAAGACTCTTTCAGGAACCTTTCACTTTAGATCTTCCAGTGGCGTCAGTTAATTGGTGTGAACGTAAGTCACTGATTCTCCATCTACCCAATAGCCTTTGCTGTATAAAAAAGTTGAGCAAGGAGAAATTGACGCAGACAATAGATCTAAGCCGTGCAGTGTGACAAGAACTGGCACACAGATTGGGAGAGGGAGATCTTCTTGAGAAGATGTGAGAATTTAGTGAAGAGAAGTAGAAACTGGCATAGAATATGGCTCAGATTTTTCTAAACTGGCCTTTATCATGAAATAGTGATTTTGTAATTTTAACATTTGGGTGCTTTGGATACATTTCCCTGCAACAAATCTCAGCATGATATTTTAGAATAAGTAACTGAAAGGATTTAAAAAAAAAAAAAAAAAAAAACTTAGAATGAAACTTCTCTTTTTTCTCCTCTTTACTGTTTTTGTTTTTTTGGAAAGGGAAAATATTTATAAGTAACATGGTATATGCTAGAGAAATAAAGGTAGATTGAAGAAGCAAATAGATAGCTCTAAAAAACTATTACCCTCTCTAATGTGGGCTAAAAGACTAGTTGAGAAACAATTATTTGTGTTTTTATGCCTCATATTTAGTCTTCATCCTTCCAGAAAGTCCCATATTGTGTGAATACAGTGACAGTAGTAGATGAACCAAGATGTTAGTGGTGGCTTGGAGGACAGTGGATTCATCCCCCCAACAATATTAATCCAAATACTCCGCTCATTTGATTTTAATATAAAATCCCCTGAGCAATTCCAATGACTCTTATCTGTATAGGGGCAGAACAATTTGTTTTTTATTCATTTTTCCTTTCTAGTAATATTATTAATAGTTAATTTCAGTGGGAAAAAAGTCATATATTAAAAAAAGAAATGGTGGCACTTAATCATTCGTGTCTGCTGGAAAGCTTTTAGTCTAAAATGACTGATTATCATTCATTTGGGAACTTCTAGATAAATCTTTTTTTTTTTTTTTTTTTTAAGACAGAGTCTTGTTCTGTCGCCCAGGCTGGAGTGCAGTGAGTGGCGCTATCTCAGCTCACTGCAAGCTCTGCCATCTGGGTTCACACCATTCTCCTGCCTCAGCTTCATGGGTAGCTGGGACTACAGGCACCCGCCGCCACGCCCAGCTAATTTTTTGTGTTTTTTAGTAGAGACGGAGTTTCACCGTGTTAGCCAGGATGGTCTCGATCTCCTGACCTCGTGATCCACCTGCCTCGGCCTCCCAAAGTTTTGGGATTACAGGGGTGAGCCACTGCGCCCAGCTAGAGAATTCGATATAAATGATCATAAACTTGGGCAAAAATATGATATTCAATCTGGAGAATTACAAAGCAAAACAAAACACATTTACAAACAAGGATTTGGCACATACTGAAGTAATGTATGATGACTTGATAAATGCATTTCAGGTTCATGTCAAAACAGTATGCCCTAAAAATTGTTGGATAGGGATAGGCATTCTTTTTTTTTTTTTTTTTTTTTTTTTTTTTTTTTTTTTTTTTTTTTTGAGATGCAGTCTCACTCTTGTCACCCAGGCTAGAGTACAGTGGCTGGATCTTGGCTAATTGGATAGGCATTCATTTTTAACATTAAGTTCTAAATTTCTTTCTATTTTATGTGCTTTCCTTTTCACATTTGCCTGCATATGTAAATTAAAATTATAGTTGACTTGTTCCACAGGCTTTTACAAAGTAGTCATATAAAAACATTCAAGATCAGTAAATGTATTGTTCTTATAATTAACATTACTCTGACTGCTGGATTTCTATAGTGATTGCTGGGCAATCCCAGCAGTTGAGTCTTCACATTGGATATGGAAAGGCAAGGGGATCTATTTTTATTTAAGGTTTATAATGTAAGAGGGTAAAACATAAGTTTTCTCTAGGGCATAACAGTAATAATATATAACAGTTAAGATTTATTGACTTTCATATTCAGCTTTCTAGCTAAATTGTGCTGAAATCACTGATTGTTAAAGCATATATACGTTTAAAAACAAAGTTACAACATATAAATATATATATTTTAAAAGACAAGTTGTTTTCTCATAGTTTCCTAGCTCTTGTTGCTTAATTGTTGAGACAGCATGGACGTCATTTTATGATTCTCTGTGATTCTATTATCTAAGTAAAATATTTATAAACAATAATCTGTATAATATTCATGCTAAAAATTCTTAGACGTAAAAGGGTCTATTAACTTTCTAGAGTTGCAGGGTTAATAATAATAATAATAATAACAATTAAAAGTTTAGAAGTCTGACATGAGAAAAATAAATTTTGATGCAGAAATGTTCTTTTGGAGAACAATTTAATGAGGATAAGTATAAGCCAGTGGAACAAAGGTAAATGTATGTTTAATAGTCTTTTAAGTATTCATTTCCACAAAGAATAATTACTAACATTTTGGTTGGATTTGTTAACTGTTGGTTGTTGGAATTGTCTTTTTATTCTTTGCTCACAAATTTCTCAGTTAACTATCTAAATATCTTATTCTCATTTTCAAAATGCTTTATAATCTATTTTGTACTTTTTCATCCTTATGCCTCTACACTTCCACTCATGGCAGGCTCACTTACACATGTTATGTAATAAGCATTTATGGTTTAAAGAGATCATACCCTTTTATCAAAGCCAAGAATCTTTCCACAGTTCTTCCAAACCTGAACATGTGTTTTTGCCTCTGAGAGGGATTTGCCTAGTATTTACCCATAAGATTACTCATTTACCTTTACTGCTAACCTTGTAAGGTCATCAAGAATTATTAATAACATATCATAAATCTCCTGTAGTGTTCATCACAAAAAATAGGTGCTTAGAAGAAAGCTATTTGAACATTACATATGCTTAGGTTAAAAGGAATATTAAAACACCCCAAATATATGTATAAACAGATCTAATATGTATGTATGTATGTATGTATGTATGTATTTATTTATTTATTTTGAGACAGGGTCTCACTCTATTGCCCAGGCTGGAATGTAGTGGTATGAGCACAGCTCACTGCAGCCTTGACCTCCAGGGCAATGATTGTCCTGCCTCAGCCTTTAGGTTAGCTGTGACTACAGGCGTGTGCTACCATGCCCAGCTTATTTGTGTATTTTTGTTTGTTTGTTTGTTTGTTTTTGTAGCAACAGGATTTCACTATGTTGCACAGGCTGGTCTCAAACTCCTAGGCTCCAGCAATCTGCAGGCCTTGGCCTCCCAACCTGCTGGGATTACAGGTGTGAGCCACCACACCCAACTGATATAAATTCTTAAGTAAATTGGGTTCAATTGTATAAACAATGTGACATAATTAAAATTAAATAATCTGTTTGTAATAAGATGTTTTAAAAATTAGAAATATACCTTTTATTGGGCCGGGCGTGGTGGCTCAAGCCTGTAATCCCAGCACTTTGGAAGGCCGAGAAGGTCGGATCACTAGGTCAGGAGATCGATCGAGACCATCCTGGCTAACACGGTGAAACCCCGTCTCTACTAAAAAATGCGAAAAACTAGCCAGGCGAGGTGGCGGGCGCCTGTAGTCCCAGCTACTCGGGAGGCTGAGGCAGGAGAATGGCGTAAACCCGGGAGGCGGAGCTTGCAGTGAGCCGAGATCCGGCCACTGCACTCCAGCCTGGGCGACAGAGCGAGACTCCGTCTCAAAAAAAAAAAAAAAGAAAAAGAAATATACCTTTTATTATTAGTAGAATGATTTTAAACTCAAAGGCAAGCACTATAACAAGAATATCACAATTTTGGACAAATGATTTACCTTGTAATTCATTACTTTAAAATAGTTCATTTTAAGTATATTTGGTAAAAGATACTGTGATATATTCTGAGTGTACAAATGGCTGTAGAGATTTTCTTAGATATAAAATGGTAAATTTTTTATTTTATAATTTGATTATTTTCAGTTTTAGAAATAATGAAATAGTTTAACCACATTCAGAATATATAGTCACAGAAAAATGTTAAATAAGTTAAATATATAATCTTAGGTATTCTATGCTCATAATGCTCTCTGTCTATAGATATATACATACATGAATATCACAAAATGATAAATTATTATAAATACCTACAATTTTAACTGATACAATTTCCTAAAATCAATACATCTAATATTTCTTAGTTGAGTTAGATTTTTTTTTTTTTTTTTTTTTTTTGAGACAGAGTTTTGCTCTTATTACCCACGCTGGAGTGCAATGGCATGATCTCGGCTCACTACAACCTCTGTCTCCCAGGTTCAAGCCAGTCTCTTGCCTCAGCCTCCCAAGTAGCTGGGTTTACAGGCGCCCATTACCACACTCAGCTAATTTTTGTATTTTTAGTAGAGACAGGTTTCACCATGTTGGCCAGGCAGGTCTTGAACTCCTGACCTCAGGTGATCCACCAGCCTTGGCCTTCTGAAGTGCTGGGATTACAGATATGAGCCACCGCACCCGATCTATTTTGTGCTCACTTTAAAAAGAATGGTTTTCTTTTGGTGAAACAACAATAAAAATCTGCTTATTTTATGATATTTTCAGAAGACTAAGATAAATATTTATCATTTCAGAAAAACAAGTGAATAACCAATATTTTTAGACAATAGATAACAGGCATTTATTATTATCATCTGAGGGGGCTATGAAATCAATTGAATTGAAAAATCAAAATAAAAACACCCAAAGTTACTTTTTTTGAGACGGAGTCTCGCTCTGCCGCCCAGGCTGGAGTGCAGTGGCTGGATCACCTCACTGCAAGCTCAGCCTCCCGGGTTCACGCCATTCTCCTGCCTCAGCCTCCCGAGTAGCTGGGACTACAGGCGCCCGCCACGTCACCCGGCTAGTTTTTTGTAATTTTTAGTAGAGAAGGGGTTTCACTGTGTTAGCCAGGATGGTCTCGATCTCCTGACCTCGTGATCCTCCCGTCTCAGCCTCCCAAAGTGCTGGGATTACAGGCTTGAGCCACGGCGCCCGGCCTCCAAAGTGATTTTTAAAGTTGGCATATCACAATTCTAAAGTACATTATAAGTGTATTACCATTTTATATGACACTATATATAATGAATCAAATTTCTTTATGCCGTGGTCAGATTTTTAGTGTTCAGGTAATGGAAGAAAAGCAAATGTCTTAGGTTTATGCTATACTCTATTAAAAATATAAATCAGCTTTGAATTTAAAACTGCATTTTTATCCCAAAAGCAACACTCTCCAACCAGATAAAAAAGCTTGTAAAAATTCTGTTACTTCTTAAAAATCATCACCAAATCTGTTATTGGTTGTGAGTAGTTGGGACATACCAGTTCAAAGCCCGCAATGTTAAGAAGTAAAACTAATACAAATAGAAACAGATAGGGATGTATTCCAAAATGAATATTCTACTATTACCTTTATGAAAGCTACTGCATAAAGACCTTTATTCTTCAGATAATTACTATCAGAAATATTGACTGTGATAAAATGGTTCACTTAGACATACCACATGTAGACTTAGTAGCACAATTTTCACTAATTTGTCAATCCATGTTTTTATTTGTTAAACTGTATAGCTTATAAAAGGTCGGGCGCGGTGGCTCACACCTGTAATCCCAGCACTTTGGGAGGCCAAGGCGGGCAGATCACTAGGTCAGGAAATCGAGACTATCCTGGCTAACATGGTGAAAACCCGTCTCTACTTAAAAAAAAAAAAAAAAAAAGTATAAAAAATTAGCCGGGCGTGGTGGCAGGCACCTGTAGTCCCAGCTACTTGGGAGGTTGAGACAGGAGAATGGCATGAACCTGGGAGGCAGAGCTTGCAGTGAGCCAAGATCACACCACTGCACTCCAGCCTGGGCGACAGAGAGAGACTCCATCTCAAAAAACAACAACAACAAAACAAAAACAAACAAACAAAAAAACTGTATAGCTTATTAATGAAATAAGCCAGAAATACTATAAAGAATAAAGACAGAACTTATATCCTGCTGATGTCTGAATGACCACATTTAAAAAAAATCTGATACTTTGATCTTCTAGATCAGGGTTTGGCAAACTCTTTGTTTAAAAGGCCAAATAGTCGTTTCTGTAGACCAGTTGATATCCTTTGTAACTACTGAATTCTGCTGTTGTAGCACAAAAACAGACACAGGCAATATGTAAATGAATGAGAGTGCTTGTGTTTCAATAAAACTTTATTTACAAACACTGATAGCATGCCAAATTAGGCATGTGGGTAATGGCTAGATAAACTCTTCATTTTCTGGAAATATAGAGAAATATAAATTTATACCTACACACATATGCATAGTTCATGAAGTCAATTATGATGTATTGCTACAATGGTTCAAGTATTTACTTTTATGTAGGAAAAATAGATATGAAAGGATAAGCTGAAGTTCATATTTCTTATACTGATTACTGCAAATACTGTGGTTTCATCCTTGATATTTTTTTAATCTATTGCATCCATTGATTCATTATTGTCATTTTTATTTGCAGCAGAAAAGACAAAATATTAATTCAAAACAACTTTCTGTCAGTAATCATGCTTTTAAGTAGCTACAGAATTATCTATGACTTGAGATGCTTCAAAATAACTATAGTGCATATATTAGAATACTGATACCTTTTGAAAATCCTTGATATTAACCAGGTTGAATGAAAATATGTGATCCTTTGCTCCAACATACAGCCTACTCCGTTCCTCATCCAAAAGGAAGGTATGATAACTGGAGCTGTTGGCCAAGCCATTGAAAGTGATCACATTGTTGGATTCCAACATTTCTGCAAGGTAACAAAGCAAAACATTGGGTATTAATGTGAAGCACTATACAAGCATAGACTGTTGGTACATGGTAACCTGACTATATTTACTGTTGTAGCTATCAATCAGTGCTTATTCTTCAGGGTACTAAGAAATATATTGGAACCGGAACCAAAATGTGTGCATTTTACTTTTTTTTTTTTTTTTTTTTGAGATGGAGTTTTGCTCTTGTTGCCCAGGTTGGAGTGCAATGGCGCGATCTCAGTTCACCACAACCTCCGCCTCCTGAGTTCAAGCGATTCTCCCACCTCAGCCTCCCAAGTAGCTGGGATTACAGGCATGCACCACTACACCTGGCTAATTTTTGTATTTTTAGTAGAGATGGGGTTTCTCAATGTTGGTCAGGCTGGCTTCGTACTCCTGACCTCAGGTGATCTGCCCACCTCGGCCTCCCAAAGTGCTGGGATTATAGGCGTGAGCCACTGTGCCCTGCCTGTATTTTATTAAAATGGGAGTTATATTCCTATTTGCTGGTTTCATACTTAACATGGTACAGTCCTAAAGAAGAGAGGAAGAGGAATACCTATACTTTAGTGACAGGAATTTAAGTCCACTTTTGTGTTAGGAAGGTAATTGTTGGCTTCTTAAAGATATGTTTTGCTCAATGCACACACACACCCACACACACACACACACACACACACCACTCCCATGGGATAGAATTTTTGAGGATTCTCCAAAACTATATCTCCAAAACTATATCTCCAAAACTGTATGTCCTGAATCAGTGCTTTAGATTTTTCGGGTGCACACTTAGTAGGAAACTTTCAGCAGCACACACAAAATGTAGAATGCAACGTGCCTTCCAAAGACAGAAAGCTGCAATGTAGACCTGTTCTAACACCTGTTCCAGCTGTTAACATCAGGAAACATATATTAGTCATGTGACCGATTGCCTTGTTTTATCTATTTGTCCTACTGACCTCTTCATTTTATCATTTTATCATCAAAAATATGATTTCAACAGAGGATAAAATTCATACTCTTTAACTTAACACTAAAGATCAGGTCACTATCATTGCAGTTTAGACCCTATCCCAGTACTTCTCATGTCCTCTATCATGCGGGAAGTCATGCACTGTGCTCATTCACTCCTTGGCCTTTGTTACTATTTTTCCTGACTCCGACAGCTACAGAATAGATCCACGCTTAAAGCTAGTTCAAATGCAACTGCCAAGAAATTCTCAGAGAGCTTCCTGTTACATTTTGCTTGAATTACTCTTATAACCTGCATCCCACTGTCAATTATTGCAATCTTATCTACCAGAATGAACGTTCCCTCAGGAAATAGATAATTAATAGCTCATCATGCCTAACTCACATGTTTTTTTCATATTACTAGGTCAACAACATAAAATGGAATATCTATCTTTTTGTATATTTACCTATCCTATAGGCAAAAAATGTTAACTAATTGTTAAAAGATACTTTTCTCATTTCTTCATGAGAAATAGTATAATACTAGGCTGGCCTTAGTCCCTACCACACCCCATTCCCCACACACACACAAAAAAGAAGCAGGAGAGGAAGGAAGGGACAGAGGGAGGGAAGGAGGGAGGGAAGAAGGAAGGAAGGAAGGAAGGAAGGAAGGAAGGAAGGAAGGAAGGAAGGAAGGAAGGAAGGAAGGAAGGAAGGAAGGAAGGAAGAAGGAAGGAAGGAAGGAAGGAAGGAAGAGAAGAGTTTAATTCATGTGAATCACAGCTAAATAAATGACAGCCCGGTTGAAGTCTCCAGAGAAGAGGACAGGAAGGAAGGAAGGAAGGAAGGAAGGAAGGAAGGAAGGAAGGAAGGAAAGAGAAGAGTTTAATTCATGTGAATCACAGCTGAAATAAATGACAGCGGTTAGTCTCCAGAGAAGAGGGACAGATAATCCACTACATAATATCTTAATTGAAATGGAAGTCATTGGCTGGGCACAGTGGCTCATGCCTGTAATCTCAGCACTTTGGGAGGCCAAGGCGGGCAGATAACAAGGTCAGAAGTTCAAGACCAGCCTGGCCAACATGGTGAAACCCCGTCTCTACTAAAAACACAAAAAATAAGCCGGGCGTGATGGTGGGTGCCTGTAATCCCAGCTTCTCGGGAGGCTGAGGCAAGAGAATTGCTTGAACCCGGGAGATGGAGGTTGCAGTGAGCCGAGGTTGCACCACTGCACTTCAGCCTGGGTGACAGAGCAACATTCAGTCTCAAAAAAAAAAAAAAAAAAAAAAAAAGACATAACATTCATTTCATTGGCATCCAAAAGATTACAACTGATCAATGCTACACTACGCAGAGTCAAAAGACTGAAATTTCAGGCACTCTGAGTTGTGTGAGGATGGAAATGGACTGCTGCCAGAGGCAAGGGCTCTGTCACTGGATATGTTCAGGCCCTGATTGAATGGTCATTAGAAAAGATCCGTTTATCAAATGGATGCCCTTCATCCTTACTTCCAATTCTAAGATCTATAATTCTACCTTAGTTTCAGAGAGGCCAAACTTAAAAAAGAAAAAAAAGCCCACGAACTTTAAAAAAAAAAAAGCCACCTCGGCCTAAACCAAAAAAATTACATAGAGATATTCAGCAATTAAAGGGTCATGTAAGAGATACAAGAATGGATTTTAATTGCAAATGCATAGAAACTACATAAGGGATCTCTAAGCATTAATCGGAAGAAGTTGTAGGAAAATAAATACTATAGCTATAGATTTTGGAGTTATACAATTATAAGTAAGAACACAAGCATCTCCACAGTACTTATTTTTTAGGTGTACAAACAAGGACAAGTTCCTTAAACTCCCTGGCCCCAAGTTTTATAGAAGATGGGGTGAGTAATGTATCTTTTAAGAGTTCATGTATCTTTTAAGAGTCACTGAGGTGAAATTAGATAAAGCCTGTAAAAAACCTAGAACAAGCATTTCCTAGTAAGCACTCAATTAAATATTTCCTGTTTGTATAAGTAGAGGTTAAATATTTGTAGGTTGATCTTCTTGACCAGATGTAGCAAATTACAGTCCAGATGGAGTAGACTGAAAACTACATACATATATATGTGTGTGTGTGTGTGTGTGTATAACCTATCTTACTAAGTGTCCTAACTTGTTAACATCAGTAATTTTGTTTGGTAGAGGGAAAATAAGAATAGCAATATGTTCTTTGATTTACATTAATATTAAATGTAATGACATTTTAAGAACAATAAAGTATTCCTTCTTCTTTTCCAATGTACGTATTCTCAATTTTAAATAATAAAAGGAATGACTTTCTATATCACAGTTCCAAACAATGAAAATATTTTCCCAATTGAAAAATATGTTCTAGGGTGAATTTTGCAAATTAGTTTGGACAGAATTATTGGTCCCTACGTACAAACAATTTATGGAAGTTTCTGGTGGCTTATATGTGAAATCATCATGAAAACAAACCACAGTTTTAAAGTGTTACTTCTCAACAGTTTGATTTTTTTAAAAAGACAATACTTTCCTGGCGTATGTGTTAGTAGCTGTTTTCCATTGCTCTCAAATGTGCTTAATTTTGTCTCATTGTTCCTTTCACTCCAAATCCTTTAGATGTTCTTCTCCAACATGAGCTTTTTATATTGCTTTATAACTTAGAGAAGAGTCTTAAAAACAAATGTCAGTGAACAATACAAATTCTGGATTGCTTAGGTTATATCACTACTTTCCAGTGTGAGATTAAATATAAATTGGGTGAAATTTTATTAGATTAAATAGAAATTTGGGTAAAAATCAGACACATTTTTTTTTTCCAAATCTAGTTCTCAGATTCTTTAGTAATTTGTTTTCCTCAGTTAATGCATGACTTTGACTTTCCTAGATGTAGAGACAATTCTCTGCATCTGATAGTAAATAACTTTGAATGTACTCCTTCAGCATTTTAAGTCTTTCTTTTGTTTCATTTATGTATCTTACAATGACATAAACTGCTATGGGAAGTATAGTAAAATTCACTAATGTGAAATGTGTAGTATTCTTCTAACTTCTTACATCTTACCTATGCTCCTATTCAGTTAAACAACAATTGTTATTTTTAAAAAACAACCGAAGTTTCTATAAAATTAATTTGACTATGGTGAATCTGAGTAGGACAAAGCTTTTAAAGGCATTAATTCTCTTTGAGTGTAATTGTTTTTCTCTGGTTGAGAGATTACTTCAACTTCCACATGCTGTGTCGAATTATAAGAGAAGCAAATGTAGGATTGTAATTAAAGATGCCATTTCAGAACACTCTTTAATAAAGTATGTATTCTTAAATTTGGAAGGTGAGTAAAGAAGCATTCTGTTCACTCCAGATTCACCAAAGGATTTAGTGTATTTATGAGTTGCTTAATGACAGCATGGAAAACACACTGACTGTAAAACCAGACAGAGACAGGGAGTTTGTGCTCAATAAGTGCTAATTATTGTCACCATTCTTACTATTATATAATATAAGACAATGAATATGACAAGCTTTAGTGTAGATATCTGGCAAGGCCGAAAAAATCAACTTAAATAATTTCAAGTGTAGTGTTGTCAATTATAAATAAATTGTACTCTCTTGTGATGTAGTTTCACAAGATAGAGGAGTCTCATGAAATTCAAGACTCATATATGAAGTCCATTTGACAGATTTCTATTTAAGAGTGTGTTACAAAAGAATAAATTATAATTGATCTATAATATGCTACCAGTTAATCATGGGAGAAAAAAACATATTTTATAATGAGTCAATTCTAATTTTTATTCTATTTATCTATAAATGTTCATATTTGCTTTCCCCCCCAGAGTAGTCATAATCTCTAATGTATATTTACTTTTAAAAACAAGCATTTGAAGGGAGAAATTCATAGCAATCATTATCAGTCCCACATTTGAGATATTAAAGGTTATTTTATAAACTAGTTTTCTTCTTATGCATGTGTTTTGTTACATGGAAAGAAAAAACACACTTACACCAAAATCATACATGATGATTGGG